TGATGAATAAAAAAAAATCCTTTATTGTCACTTTGGACTACTGACCCCAAACTTTTGAAGATTAGTGTAAAATTTTCTGTACTCATCATAGAAAGTAATATCTAGCTAGCACATGCAACAGGTTTTGAATAGTAATGACCGTCATTTCTTTAATAATTTCCCATACAATTAAAACACGTTAAGCACAATGTGTTGTGAATTTCAGTAAAAATGTGTCTAATTCCAGCCACCGACAACTCAAATATGGAACCTCGGTGCAGTTTGGAGTGCAATTATCTGACTTTTCATGATTATGTGGACCTTTTGTGGACCACCTTAGCAGAATTTCCAGGTGACGTGACACCATAAGTAATTCTCTCCTCTCATGTTGTTTTTAGTTAATCAACTTAAATGCAAACATTGTTATATGATCTACATATAAACTAATAGACAACTTTGTAATTTGTGTCTCGATGTCAGAATAGGTATTCTGGTGACCCTGTGGATGATTGATCGAATTGGCAGGAGAAAAAGCATGGCAGTTTGTTTTTTATTGTTCTCTGTGTCGATTTTGCCACTGTATGCCTGCACACAAAGGTACATTGATGCAAAAAAAAAAAAACTTTGTAATTGCAAAAGTAAGAAAAAGAAAGGCCTAAATATTTTTAAGCCACTGTAAGTGACGTTTTTCTTTACTTAACTATTTCCAGGACACTTCTCACAGTCTTTATTTTCATTGCTCGAGCCTGTATAACAGGGGGCTGGCAGGTTGCATATGTTTATACACCTGAGGTGAGGCTTCATTGTAAAGCGCCTAATTATGCTCAGTAGAATTTTCATTTAAAATGCAATTTCCTTTATTTCTTGTCTTGGCCTCCTCAGGTTTTCCCCACAGCAACCAGAGCTATTGGTATTGGTACAGGCAGTGGGATGGCTCGTGTTGGAGCTCTCATCACACCATTTATTGCTCAGGTAAAGCATTCCTCTGGTTTCATAAGAAGATGAAGGTGTATTGAACATGTACTGATGCTTTCCTGTATGTGCGTTTGTGTCTGTCGCCTTCAGGTACTTCTGAAGTCATCCGTTTACCTGACTCTGTCTGTGTACTTAATATGTTGCTTGCTGGGCACAGTGGCATCCTGGTTTTTGCCCATGGAAACAACAGGGCAGAGCCTTCAGGAATCAACGCAAAGCACCATGGAACAAAAAAACATGGAAAGGCCGCATGGCTCTGAAACAACCGAGTCTTCCAGCAATACATGTCCTTAACAGCATATGGAAAACTGAATCTGTGAAATCTCAGGATTAATAGTGGAAAAGGCCATAATGTTTAATGTCATAATTTTGCCATAGACTAAATGTTATGTAAATTCATTCTAAATTCAAGATTTTTAAATAAATAGTAATTAATTTCTATGTACACATTATGCTCAAAAAAATCTGATTTTGGTGTTGTTTCTTTAGAAATGTTTATGATGCCAAGAACTTGTCAAACTGTTTTGTTGGGTCTTTAGTTACACAAGTGTCAATTTGTCTCCTGTTTTGATGTTTTTCAAATGGACTACATGCAGGCCTGCTTAGGTGCTACACAAGCGTCTGGTGTAGTAGCGGCCCAAAAGCAAACTTAGGCAGTAAACTCTTTCTGACATATTTGTAGATCACAGCAAATTATATGATCGTAAACATAATATTTATGTATATTAAAGTTTTTACAGGTTTCAGAAGCTCCAAATACATTTAGCATAAAAGTGGATTGTATCAATATTGCTTTGCCCTGTTGTGTGACGTTCCTCAAGATTTAATTTTGCGCTTTATTTTCTCACAATTTCCATACACCAACAGACTTTAGTTGCGATACAGCAGCCATGATTTGCTACACTGATTGACTGCAGGGGAAAGGACATTTTTGTTCTAGAGAGAATTTGATTGGGAAAATATTTGTGTATTGCAAGATGAGTCATCAATATTTTCAGTATTTTTGATTTTTCTAGGAAGAGTAAAAATCAGCATAACCTACGATAGAATAAGCCCACATTAATTGAAAATAATTTAAAATGTATATGTCTGCTAAATTTAAAAAATTGTCAACATTTCAGTGGAGAGCTATAACTAATGCAGATGTACTTGGGTTACACAAATGTTGTTTTTTTTCATGAGGTATTTTGGGGTATGCAATTTGCATGACAAAACACACAGCTCCATTTTTGGTTGCTGAACCATACAAATTTCTAGTCGTCATAGGGAGGAAAAATCTGGCGATTAAGCATTACGTTAGTTTCGAGATAGTCGACATCATAACGGCTCGAGTAGTATATGTGGATGATTGGGTGTTGAGTCTGCATAGGATGCACTGTTGTCAGGGAGAAGTGCAAGTCACCTTCACGCGGTTGGCCCAGAAGCCCATATCTAACGCAGACGATCACAGAACTACACCAACCACGGACGGCGGTCCCGAAACAAGGTCCATTATGTCTGGCCACTAAATCAACGCTCCAGCCGGGAAGATAGAGCACAGACCGTTGTTTATTGGCATCGTTAACGTGAATGAGAATTTGCGGAATCGCCGAGTTGGATGACAAAGCCGATGATGGGTTTATCGCTACGCTAAATAGATTTAATGCGCCTCTGAATGCATTAACCCCGTCACTGGCGGGTCCAGAACAGGATATCTCGGACCGGAGCGCCTGTGAGGTTTCCCTGAACGCTTTGCAGCACAGCCATGGCTCTGGTGACTCTGCAGCGCTCCCCTACACCCAGCGCCGCATCCTCAGCCAGCACCAACGCGGGGGAGGTGAGTGGGGGCTGACCGGCGGAGGAAATGCCGGGGATGCATGTGTAAATAGTGCCTAAACTGCTAATATTAGCCGGGCCTGTTGCTCGGGGATCATTTCTCCTTTCTAATGATGTGCAAATGTGATACTACAAGAAGTCACCGAGTTCAACCTGCTCTGTAGACGAGCGCATGCTGAAGTTTTCACATTAGCGAGGAGGGGGTTGTTTTTAGGCAGTGTGGATGATGATGGGAATTAACTTGACTTGCCCAAACAAAACAAAGCAACGCATGCCAGTGCTGAATTATGCTTCTCTTGTTGAAATTGTGAAATATATTTGTGTATGTGGTTGAAATTTATGATAATTGTTTTCCTTTAGTGACTGTGTGCATGGTGCAATTGTTATTTCACTGTTTATCCTACCCTACATTCAATAACATTACCTTATTTGGGTGTGTTGGGGATAAAGTGGTAATAAATCGGTTGCCTTGTATATACTGAACGCAGTATCAATTCAACCATACCACAAATATGCTTTACACCAGTTTCTTAGTAATATGATACTTGTGAGTTGTGACCAATTGAGCGTTTGGCAGTTCTCACTATGTACGATTCGTGAACGAACCTCATTATCATTTGATCAATGAATCGAATCTTTTCAAAGAATCGGTTGAACTGATTCATAAAACCTGTCTACAATTGAACTGAATTGTGTCAGATTGGTTTACGAGTATACGCCTCATTTAACCGAGAACTCTCTGTTCTGGCTCGTGTCTTTGATAATGAGTTTAAAGTTATGTAATATTAAGTGCATTTGGAATATGAATGAAATAGCAAAAAGTTGTGTTACTTTATTTACCGTGAAGTAATGTGAAGAATTAAACATATTGGAATGTTTACGATTTTGAGGGTTTTATTATCAGCGCACAAACGATAATAAATACATTTTAATAAATTCGATTTTCTTAAGCTCATGCAAAAACATTTTTCAGAGAAGAGAGGTAAATTACGTTTCATACAGTTTAATATGAATATAAATTATTATTAGTTTCTAAATATAAATTTAGTTTCACTTGACTTAACAGGAGCACATTAAAAATAAATAAGACCAGACTAAATTACTCCATGACCTTTTTTTTTTTTTTTTGGAACCGGTTCTTTGAAACGAATTCTTCGAAAGAACCGATTCTTCCCCTCACTACTCTCAGCACACTCACTGCAATGATGTCATTGAATAGATACTCTGCCTGGTGACTGACCAATCATGGGACCCAGAATATTGTCATGATTTTGCTGTTCAGGCTTCTAGAGACAGCCCACTAATGAGCTAGCCTACTGTAGCATAAGCCCACAGTAATGGCCATCCCTGAGGCTTTCTTTTTTTTTGTAATGTGCCCTAAATCTATCCAAACTGTTTTGTTTTGCTTAAACATAAAGCATTTTTGTGTACTATTTAAAGAATTCCGTTTAAGGCTTACATTTCTGTACCCATCTAATCAAACGACTTTGTATATCTAAACCATAAATAGAGGCATTCAGAACTGATTGATATATGCAAAGTAATTTCAGACATACAGTATAGGGCCCTTTGTAATTCCATTTCTGCTGTTTTATTTGTCAGGATATAGGCAGTGATGATGATCGAAAGGCAAACCTAAGGTCGGTGCTATTTTTATTCATCTTATTTAATCCATTCATCCTTTTTTAACTATGATAATTAATCTTAATTCTGGAGTGTCTTCATAATTGTATGTGTGGCCTATTTCAGCCTGAGTGAAAGTTTCTTCATGGTAAAAGGGGCAGCTCTGTTTTTACAGCAAGGCAGCAGTGCACAAGGGCCCAGAACACCCACCCATCATAAAAATGCAGGTAAACCACAACAAGGTCAGAACCATGATCAATTTCATGTGTGAAGAATTTGACAAATTAAATAATTAAGGATTTAAGGGAATTAATGAAAAGTATTTTGCATCACTGGATATTATTGTCAGTTGTTTAACATTTCTATCATAAAACAGTTGTCAAATATTAAATGTTTGGCTGCTTTCATCTTACCTCGCACTATGTCACAGTTAAAAGTGAAGTTTTTGGTTTCTGTGAACAGTAAAGCCTTCTTTTTTTAATTTGATTGGCCATCTCAGTCATTTAGATGTTGATGAGGCAAAACAGCTTGAAAATTTAACTTTTAAAGGTTTTTGTCATTATAACAACAAATATATCAGTGCGTAATGCAGTGCAGCAGAACAGCATCAAGATGATCAAATATTGGTGTGAGCAATTTGGTCATTTCTGATTATTGGGAGGAAGTATGGTGGTTACAGCCCTGAACCACAACAGTAAAAGTGGATTTTCCATTAACAACTTCTGCTACATTGTTAATGTTGATGAAAATAGTGGTTTATTGTCCATAAAACTCAGATTTTTGTTGTTCATCTTTGTTGTTGTTGTTATTGTTAAAGGGGATCTACCACAGCATCTACAAGTAATGATAAACGCACTCCGTGCCGAGGACAGAATTAAATTAGTAAGTGACGTACATTGTGTCCAGTACAATGTAGGAATGGCTACTCCTCACAGTGTGCATACACCAACGTACACCATCTCCATCAACAGGTTGTTAGGTTAGAAAGCGGTTGGACGGACCATGTGCGGTACATGGTGGTTGTCTACACAAATGGGCATCAAGACACTGAAGAAAACATACTGCTTGGGATGGATTTTACAAATAAGGACAGGTAGGAATCAATCCGGTCACTCCGGTCATGATCTGAATGCATTCTTTATGCTACACTTATTGGTAGACACTAATGTTTGTTTGTTTGTTTGTTTGTCGTAGTAAAAGTTGCTCTATTGGGATGACTCTTCCACTTTGGAGTGATACCAAGATTCACTTGGATGGAGACGGGTAAATATCTTAATTCACTTCCTGTAAGGCAAAGGTTAAATCCTATTTATAGGTTAAAACCTATCCTTAATTAACTCATAGTGATTTTCCTGACTCATTTTTACTTTGTTTCAATAAATGTTTTTTTATCTCAGTTACATGATTGCTTGCGTATACCATACACATAAAAATGCACCGTCTATCTTTGGTCACATTTAAAATCACTTTATATATGTGACCCTGGACCACAAAACCAGTCATAAATCATAAAAGTGGATTTGTATCAATATTGCTTTGCCCTGTTGTGTGACGTTCCTCAAGATTTAATTTTGCGTTTTATTTTCTCACAATTTCCATACACCAACAGACTTTAGTTGCGATACAGCAGCCATGATTTGCTACTCTGATTGACTGCAGGGGGACCAGTTTTTACATCATCTGAAAGCTGAATAAATAAGCTTTCCATTGATGTATGGTTTGTTAGGATGGGACAATATTTGGTCGAGATACAACTATTTGAAAATCTGGAATCTGAGGGTGCAAAAAAATCAAAATACTGAGAAAATCGCCTTTAAAGTTGTCCAAATGAAGTTCTTAGCAATGCATATTACTAATCAAAAATTAAGTTTTGATATATTTACGGTAGGAAATGTACAAAATATCTTCATGGAACATAATCTTAATGATTTTTTGGCATAAAAGAAAAATCGATAATTTTGACCCATACAATGTTTTTTTGGCTATTGCTAAAAATATACCCCAGCGACTTAGACTGGTTTTGTGGTCCAGGGTCACATATGTGTACAGAGAATGACCTCTACAGGTTCAGTACGAAATAACATGTTTATATTTTCTGTGCATGTGACCTGGAGGCTATTGGCAGATGCATTATGTAGAGAGAATTTTCCACTGGTTTGTGGCGTAAAATTGTTCCACTGACCAACCCCGGAAAGTAGCATCGTCCTGCTGCCTGCTTATGCATTTCTGTATAATCACGAATTATGTCATAGCTCGTGTTTTACATGCCTAAACCCCTCTCATCTCATCCCCCAGAGGTTTCAGTGTGAGTACAGCAGGGAGACTACATGTTTTTAAGCCTGTGTCAGTCCAGGCCATGTGGTACGTTTACTATTACGTATCCTCTTATAGTGTGTGTTTTTTTTCTCTCTTGATATTTTAATAGTGTGTTTTCACGTACTTGATAAATCGTTTATGTTTGACTGTATGTATGTATATTGCAGGTCTGCCCTCCAGGTGATGCACAAAGCATGTGAGGTGTCCCGCAGATACAACTATTTTCCAGGAGGGATGGCCCTTACATGGGTTGGCTATTATGAGAGCTGCATCTCCTCAGAGCAGAGCTGTATCAATGAGTGGAATGCTATGACAGATCTGGAGACCACACGGCCTGACTCGCCAGTCATGTTTTCTGATCAGTGAGTTATTTGTCAGCGGATATTAGTGGAAAGTAGTATAAATCTTACATGCTACAGCAGACTGATAAACTGATTGTGGTAAAATAAGATTGAATATTCTTATATGGTACTAACATTTTATTTTGGGAGCTTATTATGGGACTAAAACCCTAAATGATTTAGCTTATATTAACATTGTTTTTCATGTCATGCACAGGCCAACAGAGAGAGAGAGAACAGAGTGTATGATCAAAGCCAAACTCCGAAACATAATGATGTTTCAGGACCTGGAAAATATTACTTCTAAGGAGGTATATGTAATGAGGCTTTTGTGTCATGGTTTACATGAATGCATCAGCCATGGAAGAAACATTAAACTGAATCCTTTCACTTCTGTAGATCCGAAATGAACTGGAACAACATATGAGCTGCAACCTGAGGGAGTATAAAGAGTTTATTGACAATGAGATGCTGCTTATCCTGGGCCAGATGGACAAGGCTACACTCATATTTGACCATCTGTACCTGGTAAAGCTTCCTCCAAGATTTCTCTGCCATCCATGTTTGATTCTTGTTTGCTTAAGATGTTTGCTTACCTAAAAAGCAAAGCACATAGTGTGAGTTCACTGATAGGGCTGGGAGGAAAAAACCAAACCTGCATGCATGCACTAATGCATTGCCCTGCTTTCTCAGACGATTCTGGATTAATCCGCAGAAAAAAAAATCCTTCTGGTTATTGAAAACACCAAAACATTACAGATAAGTTCACAAATGGTAAGAAGGGCCAATCTGCAGCATTTACACTGTCAACAAGCATACACAGGAGACTGCAGATATGATTAACTGTCAAGAATAAAAAGGCTGGATAATAAATTTTTTATTATTATACTTTTATTTTATTTAAAACATTTTAATGCAGTATTTATTTACACCTAAATCATAATTGTAGTACAACAGGGTCAAAACTTGATCATTCTTAGCCACCTTTAAGTTTACAACAAAATTACATGGTTATCGACGGGAGCTTTAAGACTCTAAAACAAATAAAACTATGGTTGTTGTACATCTCATTCATTTCAGGGCTCAGAATGGAATGCATCCAACTTGGAGGAACTTCAAGACTCTGGGTTAGTGCTGATGTACATCGACCGACTGTGCGTTGAGTTAAAATAATGCGTATTTAACACAAATCAGCAGTAAACAATCTAACATCGGGTTATTTTTATGCAGGGTTGGGTATATCCTCAATGTCACAAGAGAGATTGACAACTTTTTCCCAGGTACCTTTTGTTATTGTAATATCCGTGTTTACGATGATGAGACTACAGATCTGCTGGCACACTGGAATGAAACCTACAACTTTATAGTTAAAGCCAAGTGAGTTCATTTTTATGATTAGAACAATATTAGAAATGTGTGTTATTGTTTCTGTCATGTGCTGTTTCACTCAATAAAGTATTGTACCAAAAAAAAAGCTTTTTTTGACCTGGATGCCCTGTATGTCTTTCATATAGGAAAAACAACTCTAAATGCCTTGTACATTGCAAGATGGGAGTGAGTCGCTCAGCATCCACCATCATTGCTTATGCTATGAAGGAGTATGGATGGTCACTTGAAAAGGCATGCACTTTTGTCAAACAGAAGAGGAATATAGCACAACCCAATCCAGCTTTTATGAAACAACTTGCTGAGTACGAGGGGATTTTAGATGCCAGGTGGGAAAAGCCAAGATATTTACACGCATGTTCTTTTTAATATAGATCTCTTTTTGCATTTGTATTCACATATAAATTTATGCATACACATTTTAATATGTGCAATTGTTATTTTGCACATTTGTTAATCGTTGTGAATGTCGATGTGAATATTGTGAAAAGAGCAGCTTTAGAACAGCATGAATTTCCATGTTGGTCCAGGGTGGTTTATGCTGGTTTGGTGCTAGTGAAATGGGTCACAGCAAGTTCTTTCTAGTGAAAGACGTATTAGTTAGACAGCCTGTTGGGGACACAAGCATCCAAAAGTCAACTGTTACTGGTGACCACATAGTCTTTCAAACATGGACTAAAGGGACCAAACCTAGCTTTTTATTGTCTTGTCAGTTTTCTTTGACTGTATTTTCTTTTTTTTACACAATCAAGAGGTGACTGCTACTTTTGTTTCCTGTCATTGTAGCAAGCAGAGACACAATAAACTCTGGCAACCAGATGGTGATGAGTATTCGCTGGAGGGCCTTCAGGCTTCAGCTGCCAGTGGTGACCAGACTCCTCAATTTTCGTCACTGCACCCCGATCAAGAGGAGACCGCTTGGGGCCATGGTGGAGCAAGTGCTTCCTCCTGCTGCGGAGAAGAGCCGACTGACCATCTCAATTACAACTACTACTTCCGGCGACTCTCAGACACCGCTCTGGACAGTGAACCCTCCACGCCAGTTCGAGGTCCTCCGCTTTTAGGCATGGAACGAGTCTTTATTGAGATTGAGGACGTAGAGAGGGATGCATTGTTGGACGATGAAGGCTTCCCCATGGCTCACTTGGCCCTTCCTGGGGAGGGCACAGCGGCCCAGACCTGCGGCCGACTGGAGCCTATAGAGGACATGCGCTTGAGGCTGGAGTTTAGCACGGTGGAGGAGGAGGACGAGGAGGAAGCACAAAAGGAGGAGGCGGAGATGGCCGCCTTAGCTCGTGGCGAGAAGATGCCGAGGGTAGACAAGAGCCTGGCTAACTCGAACCGCTTTAACAACGAGAACGCCAACAACAGCAACAGGCTGGCCGGGAAGCGCAGCTGCCCTTCTGGCTTTGACGTGAGTATGACGTCTTAGCTGTAGCGGCAGCTCTCCTGGCTTGTATGCAAGCTTATAGCTCAAAGAGCTCTTTTCTGTGAATCCATCCTAAACGCTTTACATTCTCTAAAGCATCCCGTACTCTTACACCTTTAAAAAACCTAACCATGCATTCTCCCTGCCTGTGTGTATTCATCGGTTTAGGACAGTGCTAGCATTGGAAACCCCTACAAAGTGAAGCCCTCATATCAGTCGTGCCGAGACTGCCTGCGCCTGCCCAGCGGCCGCCGCTGCGAACGTCGCACCCATCGCCTTAACCTGTCACGTCACACTGGCCTGCCCAGTATGTCCATCCAGGCCCCCAGAGGACACAAATTCAGTCCTGTCTCCGCCAATAAGGTGCCTCCTCCTGCCTCTCTGCATCACATGAGCAGCGGGCACTGCCAGTGCATTCGTTGCTTCGGTCGAGCCAACTCGGACACTTGCCACAAGCAACCGAGCTGTGAAGACCTTCCTCAGGATTTGCGTTATTCCTTGGAGACTGAGGACAGAATGGAAGGGGAGGACGAGGGGAGAAAGGAAAGCTCCAGCAGTCCTGTGACAGAGCTCACTCTCCTGAGGCTCAGTCTGGGTGGTGAGAGGCCTACGGCGGAGCTCAGTCAGGGGGCCCACCTGGAGACACAGCTGGTGCAAATGTCCGGTCCTCCGTCGGAACAGATGGACTTGAGCATAGAGGACTCTGCCACAGAGGACATGGAAGTGGACGAGGGGAACGTCCCCAGCTTGCACCCTGGCTCCAGTGGCCTCCAGCAAACGCTCGCACCGGGCTCGGCCCTGACACGCAGCTCCAGCAGCGACAGTCTGCCGAGAATTCGCAGAGGCCAGCCGGGCTCGGTATGTCAGCGAGCTCGAGAGATCGAGACCCGTGTGCGGCTCGCCGGACTGACCATGTCCTCCCAACTCAAAAGGTCTAATTCACTGGCCAAGCTAGGTGACTTGGCCATCTCCACAGAGGACCTGACGCTGTCCACCGCAGTCTCCGTTGACTACAATGACCAAGAGCCTGCTCTTTGCGTGCAATCCTCTTGCTCCCCCAAGCTCTCTTTAACTCCAACTGTGTTGCAGAGTTTGAAAAGCTGACTCCAAGATGTCAGAACTGCTTTCTCAGTGAATGGGACCGATCCAGTCCTACAGCCATCGAGAGCGACCATGGAGGCCGAGGCTGCAAGACACCTCATGAGAACAATCAGGCCAGGCTTGGACAGCAGTCCTTTACATAACTGCACTGCATTTTTCATGTGTCTGTCTGTGCTTTAACGAAGATATATATTAAAGCATGCTCTGGCTTGGACCTTCATTAACGGCTTTGTTGATACGGCTTTTCTTTGTCTTTCTAAAGGAAGCCCTACCTGTTAAGGTTTTGAAATAATGTGGCCCATCGATAGGTCGCATAATCAGACCTTTTTAAATTAGCGATGATTTTCCTCAACTATTTGTTTGATCTCCATAATTTAAACTTTAAAACCCAATTTTGTGCCCTTTGGTTGATATTCTAACAACATCCATGATATTTTGCCTCCCGGTTTGTTCACCAGCAAGTTTATGTGCTACTGCAAATGAACCAATCATGCAGTTACGATGATTTGATAGCATAAAGAGACAATTTATCTGATTTAGATAATTGTAAACTTTAAAGGTGCACATAAATGTGAAAATTAAAAGGGTGCTATGGAATAACCAATCAGAACACTTGTTATGTACTAATAATAATAGAAATGTTCAAACCCTAGAAATTACTGGTTGGAGCAAATAAGGTGGTAGGCGAGTATTTATAAGTTATTTAAAAACTGAATCAGATTTAGATTTAGATATGAATAAATTTCCATGATAACATGTGAGCTATGGCTTTATTAAAACATGATCAAAATCTAAGCCCAAACCATAAGCTTTAAAAAAAAAAAACAGAAATCCATACCTAATTGGCTATTAAAATTAAACACTGTAGTCCTGAATATTTAATTGGCAACTTTTTTGTTAACTTGCCTTCAAAAGCCGTATAGTTCCACAAACCTATGTGGAAATTTTAATAAAAATGTTGCACCACAAAAGTACTTTAAGACTAAAGTTTAACCTGAAATGTATGCTTATGTTTTTTGAAGTCACAGTGTTATTCCAACCTGATAGTTACTTGAATGACATCAACAAAGCCACATAATTATTGTCTATTTCCAGAGAAAAATGCAACATGAATGTGGTTGGCTATTTGTCTTACAACACTTATTTGCTTTTCAGCTGGTGTTTATCAGATCAACTACATCTGAAATGTTGCTACTAGAGTAGCTCCTGTTATGTAATTTAGCTTAAGCTGTTTATTGTACAAATTGTAGCCTGTGATGTGCAAAAGGCTTTAGCAGCAACACATTAGTACAATACAGTCTTCAAGTTGATCAGAGGATGTTCACTATTGTCCTTTAAAAGGTCCTTTTAAAGTGTCTCCTATATGAAATGGCATCTGATAATGACAGTCATGTACGTTAGGTTTTAACAGGTATGCACAGTTTGTTATCATATTGTGGGCATGGGGACTTGCTTGAGCTTGTCAATTTAATACCATGATGGTGTATGATATTTGTGAAAGAACACAAAGTTTGATTAGTGCTCCAAGATAACTAGTAAGTTTGCAAGTATTGGTTAAACTTGACCTTAATTATTTTGTCATATATATATATATATATATATATATATATATATATGGCCTGTGCAATAAGTGTAAGCAAGAATTAGAAGAGAATCGTCTTTATTTATACAATAATGTGAAAAGTAATAGTTTTCATTAAGAAGAATGAAAATCTGAGAGAAACGCACTTGAGTGAGATTTGAATGAAAGGTTTTTTTTCCATATGGTCCACTTGGGTTCAGTCACTGCTGTATGAAACTATTATGTTCTTATTTTTATTTTAAGGCTGTGAGACGTATTTCATATTGCTTTTGCAAATTCCCAATGATTTGGAACTTAACATTTTTTGCTTTTTATTTATTTATTTATTTTTCCCATTTTTAAAAAATGCATATAATGAGAACGTTCCCATTTCAAACTGTATGGTTCTGGGGGGGGGAAAGTATTTCTGCAAATCAAAATGATTACGATTGCCAAAAGAAGATGGCCTCCCAAAGAGATCAAAGTTGTAGTTTTGCGTACCTCCTCCCAGCTGCTGCTGATTTGAGTACTAGACATTTTGTTTCTTCGGACATGCAAGTGCCTTACCTGTTGCCATTTGCAATCAGTTGTCTAATGGTTCTTTGGTAAAAACCACTCTTTGTTTCGCAGAGGTTTTGTCTCCACCTGTTTGCGGTCTTTATAGAGCAAAGTTTATTTTGAAAAAAAAAAATTCATATTTTGAGGCTTACTCAAGTCTGTTTGTCTTTTCATTTTGATACTACATTTCATATTTGAATAGAGGAGACCAAAGTAATTTATTTATTGGCATGTTTTGGCATGTTTGAACACACTAAGCTAACAATAAAACCAACTCGAGAAACTGGAAGATTGCCTTCAGCCCTAACTAAACGGCTCTTAAAAGTGACTTGGAACAAACATCATCTATACACTGTACTTCATTTTGACCATTTTAAGTTGTGCTGCACTTTGTTTTATAATGTAATGTACAGTTAATTATAAAAATAAATTGTTTATTGTCTGCATCAGAAATGGACCAGTATTGAATTTTTTTTAGCTATGAGGCGCACGGAGATTGAGAGAGAACTGTTGATGATTATTCAAATAAATGCACCACACATAATAATTCACTTCTTATTATGAATACATTTTCTACAAAATGAGAGTAAAGTAAGTAACATGTAAATGAAGAAAAACGGTTGCTTTTCCTGACCTTTGAGTGCCGCACAGAAGGAAATCTTATTGAATTAGGCAAATGTGATTCTGATATCACAAGACCAGACACAGGAGCAGCCCAACGACACAGGCTGGAGACAGTTAAACAGACTAAAATAAGTGTTTTTAGTCCAATCCAAAGACGATTCTGCATCACTGGTGAGGATTTTTCTTCTTCTGTAGGAATACATGAACACGGTGAGATTGTCAGCTATATTTGTATTTCATATGCTACATTTGCTAGTAATGTGATTTCTGTTGTATATCTCTCCGGGTAGAAACCATCTGCTAAAGACATGCATATACATGTAAATGTATTGGTGAATTAGTTGTCTGGAGGAGATTTACTTTAAAAGTTACCTTGAAAAAATATTTACACCTTTTTATTTTTACAGAGAAAAAAAAAATTATGTGTGAAATGCTATATAAACTCATCACTAAACTTTAAAACATGTTGGACTGCATTCAGTTCAGATTATTTTGCATACAGTAGATAATGCAATTCCAAGTGTCTTATAGCTCAAATACAACCAGTGGGACAACCAGTTTAACATAGTTTTTCATCTGCTTTCAAAAGTCACGAGAAACAAATGAACTATTACAGTACGGAAATTGTGTGCGTTGTTAATTCGAGCATTCAACTTTGTGCTCAACCTGCAAATTCATTCACAAACTCTTTTGGGTAGGGCAATGGGGGAGCTGAACATAGAGAATCTGGTTTTATGGACGGCCCTTCTCCGCTGCAAGCTGAGGCCATCGACCTCAAAATAACCTATTAGATTTACTGCACAGGGCCTGTGCAATGACATAAGCATAATATAAGCTCGCCATTCATCCAGCAGCCCAACCAGTTGGGTTTAACTCTACAGCTGACATTCTCAGACAGAGTAAAGAGTCAACACAGCGCACTGGACCTTTAAAATATCCCATCATGCTGAGAGGCACAAATGAGATGACATTTACTGAATACTGATAATGTAGAGCCATTTTCATTCATGTTTACACAGACAGACCCACATTCACAAGCTGTCATGTACCTCAAAATACGCTAATGACTAGTCTACATAATATAGGCCTTCTTGAAGGCATGAATTAATCCTCATTCTCGTTATTTGACTTTTTATGTTTAAGTAAAACATTGTGCTTTTTTAGTTTAGACAGCAGCACGAGGGCAGAGGACAAAGGACATGCTTACACCTTATCATATGCTTATATTTGGGAGGCTATTTTAGACTATTCTTCCCATGAGACACATTGTGACACTACAGTCAGCTGAGCATGGTTTGCTGCTTACTTTCAAACCACTGTGCAATGGCCGTTTCAGAAGGTCACTGATAAAGCCATGACCCTTATAGCCAGAGGTCACAGAGTTCATATGACACTGCGATGGAAACGGATCGGTAGATGTTTCTATTTTATGGCAACAGGTCACTTTCTGAAAAAATGTTTTGCGTTTAGTATATATCAAAGTCAGAAGAATTAAATTATAAACAATAAATAAATGAGAAGTGATTACTAAATGAAAGATAATTAATAAATAATAAATTGTTACTAAAAATAAATCAGTAGATCTAAACGCCTGTGCTGCTGGTTCGTAAGCTGGTCTGTAAATCAATCCACATATTTTTATGGAAATTTTAGTATATACATGTATGTATGTATATACATATAACAGTCATTTTGTAGTAACATTTTACAATATTACTGTTTTTGATGTATTTTTGATCAAATAAATGCAGCATTAGCATCTTACTGACCCCAAACCTTTGAACTTTTGTCGTATAGATATAGACCTATTGGTATTTTTCTATTGATATATTTTAAAATACACATTTATAATTTTAATTAAATTTTAATGTACTAAAATAAATGAACTAAATTTCCAGCTTGGATGGAAACATAGCCCCAGAGGCCAGGAGGTCTAGAGTGTTGTTGTCAAGAGCCGTAGGATATGTTTGGAGTCTGTGGGTTTTCCCCTTTCATGTCTAATGTGACCTTCGCACCTGGTAACTGAGCTACTCTGCCAGTTGTCCGGTTCCCATTTTGGTTCTGTGACTCAGTAGCCACATTGAGAGTCATTTAATTTTAGGCATTGCAACATTCCAGTAAGAAGTGATGTGAGAGGAACAAGAGAGAGCTTGAAATGGGCGGTGGCTCATTATAGATAAAGATATACGGTCTGTTCATAAACTCATGGGTGGGGATATGTGTTCTTCACAGGGGTGATGGGACAGAAACAGGACAAGGAGCTAGAAAAAGAAGACGTCCTGACCGGTGCCGTTAGTGACTATGAGATCTTAAACCAAAGCGAGGAGGAAGCACATTCCAACAGCCCAGAAGAAATAGACCAGAATTTTGTTCACTTGGACACCTCCATACTAGAGCCCTGTCCCGATCAGGAACCAACAAGACCTAATGACAACACCACTGAGCCCTCTTTCAACCAGGGAGAAAAAAAGATCAGACAGAGTTATGACACGGATGTTTCGCAGAATGGCAGGACACCAAATCCTCAGCTGAGCCTGGCAGGAGCTCCATGTGCCTCAGAATTCAAAACAGTCACAAGCGACGCAACCGCCACAGACATATTTACTGCTGTAGACCAGCAACGACCTGACAAAACAGTCGGAATGACTAACAAAACTCACCTCAAGGATACTCCAAACATGTTAGAAGGTTTCTGTCAAGTGGACTCAGCAGATGATGGCGTGAGCATTGAGAGGAATGAGACACGGACGCTCTCTGACAGACACAACGGGATGACAAAGATGAGTGGTGATGTCGAAATAAAGAGGACATTTTCTTTGGAAGCAGAGAATGCTGATTTACTTGAAAGGCAGCCATTCCAGGACAAAGATAAACATGAAATGCAAACAATAAGTAGTGACAAAATTAGGAGAGGTTGTGACAAAGTTGGCAAAGAAAGTGCTGGAACTGTTCGACACAAAGAAAGTCCTGATGAGGACAGATTTGAGTATTTGGACAGAGCCGATTCTTTATGTCCAGAGACTGTGACAACACGTCCATCATTCACTGGGCTCCACTCGAATTCAAGTCGTCCATGGCTTCAGAGTGCCAATAAGCAGGATAGTTTACAGAGAGACAAAAATATCAGAAGAGGTTTGTCAAGAAGTGTTTTACAAGAACCCAATGATGCCTCACAGACACCCAAAGCAACAAACTTCAGAAACGACCAAAGAACTTTCCGTACACCATTACTGGGAAAAGAAGAGACCGAATGGGGTGAAACTGAAGGTAAGGACAAAATCTTGCATACTCCCTTTGATAAACCTTGTCTATCAAGATCTACAGTGACAACATTTGACTCTTTCGACTGTGACACCGTTACTGAATCCACAAATCCAGACACAGCTCTAGTCCCGTTGAGGATTGAGGAGGACTTTGAACAA